GCTCATTATTATCGCTTAACATTTTACTAGGTCTAGTTGTGGAAAAATATGTGGTGAGGTCCTTCCCCCTTCGCCCCCTCCCTCCTCCCTCCCCCCCCCCGTATACGAAAATGTAAGGAAATACTGGGATAGTGAAGCTGTTTTTTGCAAAGTGTTGAATGGTCTTTCGTAATTTTTGGCATTGTCTGGAGCAATAGTAGGTAGCAGGAATAGTTTTTGCTCTATTAACTATTGTACGCTGAATTATATAAAAAGATAAACTATTTGGTATCGATCCATTTTCTTAAGGATGCCCTTCCATTTCACTCCAACTCTAGTACCAACTCACCTAGCCGCAATGTGCCTCAGGGAGAGGGGCAGTCTGTGAAGGTCACTATGACTAAGCCTAACGGAGGGGGTCGAATTAGGGAGTGAAAGAAAATTGCTTACGCAGCTCTGATTCCCTCTTCTCCTTCAAAGCATTAGTCTTGGAAACTGAAGGTTTTCGTGATTCTAGCGCAATGTTACGGGCTGCCCCCTCCCCCCTTCGGAGCTACATTGCGCATTCACCTACCCCGAGAAAGAGAAGATTGGTCAGCCTAGACGGTTTTGGTCTGCAATTTGATCCCCGGGCCATGAGTACTACAGCGGCGCGTTTTGACACTACCGGCCCTAGTATGTGTTTATAATAATTTGCTTGAGCAATAAAAGTTAGCCTACCATAAAAGTGCTGCTTTTACATCACCAAGGTCATGCTTCTCTTAACTCTGCTGTAAAACTGGTAGCAGTTTACAGAAACGACCTCATGAGGCTTGATCAGTAAGAATAACGACACTCAAGATATTGTCCAGTAACACCACCGTTTTGTATTCTATGATGTTGAGCTCGAACCTGATTGTTCCATTACATGATGCTCTACAGATAGCTGTGATCCTAAGTTTCTCGAAGGACTGTTACATAGGCAACGCTGAAGGCTGATTGCGCTGTTGGTAATGGTACTACAGCTCCTATTAGGTGGATGGAGCCTTGAAGTGCTTCCGAGTTGTGAGGTTAAACTGCTATTAATTCTAGAGGGTGATCCGATTTTATGCATGACCTTGGCTTATCTCTGCCGCAGTGGACAAATGAGAGCATGGCGGGCATGACCGATTTGTGCTCTGTGGGTGATGAACGTTCATGATGTACTTCGTGTAGGGAGAACTAATAAATTTTTCACTATTTCAGCCACATCTTTCACAAGGTGGAATTCGGTTATCTCTCCAAGTTCATTTAGTTCACACTTCACTCATTATGCCCAATTTTGAGCAACGCAATAGACCTAACAATTTCCACCAAAAAGAGAGGTTAGGGACAAGTGAATGAAGTTCTGTTCCTCGTTTCAAGAATAGAATGGACGAAGCGTGATCGTGAAAATGGGAGAAAAGTAATTGGAAGTCTCCAGTCGAATCACTCAGCGCATATTTAATCTTCCAGCTGAATTTCCAGTTCTCTTACTCTCTTATTTTTCTAATCAATGCATATCATCTTGCCTTTCATTCTCGTAAACCTTAAGAGTATAAACGCGGTTTTACTGCTCATTGAATTACTTCGAAATCTATTATTTGGTCACAGTACACAGCGAACATTACGAGGACGCAGCTCAGTTTTGTTCACCAGTTTGTAGCAGTACTTAGTTGATTTATTACAGATGCTTCAGTTTTGCTGAGTGTTGTTCGTGTGCCGTACCGTTCCTTTTTCTTATTCGACTGTTTTTTTTTTCAGCTGGAAATGCCAGATGATGGATATGGTCCTCGACCGCCTCAAGGTTAGCCTTCTTTGCGTGAAAAATATGTTATAACCAAACTTGCCAAACGAAAGGGCTTATCTCGAAATGGATATTTAACGGTTCAAACAGTCTGGTGCAGTCAGGTCCAAGATGGAATCCAATCTTCTTAAATTTTTAATTATCTTCCACTTGGTATTGAATGTTATGGTTTGCGACTTTGCTGATCGCTAGGTTAAGAGTCTGTAATAAAACTGGTTTTCGAGTCTTATAAGCAGCATACTTTTGAGATTTTTTTTGTAGATGAAGACCTTCGAAATGCCATCGAACGTCTGGCTGTTTTTGTGGCGAAGAATGGGCCAGACTTTGAAAAGATGACAATGGAGAAACAGGAAGGGAACCCGAAGTTTGCCTTCCTCTATGGCGGCCCATACAATGAGTACTACCGTTTCTGCGTTGAACGTGAAGTTCAAAAAAGTCAGTTTTATCACAGTTTCATAGCTCTAATCCTATTGCATATTATATGCATTGCGATGTTGTAGTACATGGGCCACCACATCATGGGAATGGATGTGTAGGACCGCCCCAGCCTGAGTCCGAATTCATGAGAAGGATGAATTCCCAGAAAGAGCAGTTAAGGCAACAAATCACTGACAGCGAGCGGAACTTGAAAGCTCATCTTGATTCCATCCCTGCTATGAAAGAGGTGAGTTCCATCGCAGTGCTTTATTTCTTTGCTTATCAAGATTTTTGATTATTTAGGCGCAAGTGGCACAAGCCGTAGTTATGTCGGAATCTCAGAAAATGTCGCAAATTTTGGCTAATGTGAATTTTGATGTGGCACCTCTAGGTGCAATATTGGATCAGCTCAATGGAGGAAAGTGCTCTAAGGATCTTGTTTCGGTATGTGCATTCCTTTTCTTGGGGAAGGCCACTGTTTGGCTTGAAAACGATGGGTTTTTATCATTAAGAGAACATGTAGCAGAGTCAACCCTGCGTTGCGCAGTTCGCAACGGCACGTCGAGAGATCCTCAACGCACGCTGTATGGGCGGAGACACAGACGGCTCGAGCATGCGAGTGTGAATGTTCGCGCGAGAGAACGTGTCTAATCGGGCGAAACTGCGCAACGTGGCCGTTGAAAACTGCGCAACGCAGGGTTGACTCTGACATGTAGTGCTTCAGTCTTTTTTTTCCCTTGCGAGAATTGAAAGGTCTGTAGACGGCCGCGACTGTCGCACCACATGCCCCCGTTGTTAGATGAGGTCCGTTTGATGATTTGACTCACTCGCTTCAGACCAGCCGAAAGTGGATATTCGAGCACTGTCAGACAGATCAGCTCAGAGAAGTTGTTCTCACCTATCTCCTAAGCAGGTTTCTTCAAAAAATTATTTTTATTCTTCTGTGTTCCTATTATTTCCGTAACTGTAATATTTAGGGTCAAAGATTCTCATGCTAATGACAATTTTCGATTGAACATACTCTATGTTATCAATGACTGGGCATACCAATGGTGGGTTGGATTTTTTTTGTGTCGAGTACCTTCATTTATTGATTTGGTGTTAGGGATGATCGCGGGTAGTCTTAATACCACCGAGATTTTCCGCTTGGTGACAAATTGATGCAATAAAACACTGAGTTCTCGTCTTTCACGGCATTCAGCCAGAATAAGCCACAACAGCGTGCGGAACCGACAGTAGACTAAATATACGATGGAACTGTGGCAGTAATTCAGCATTCATGCTCTGATTTTGAAATTCCTAAATGCTGCTCATTAATCCTATATATGTACCTCTCTCGAATGCTTAAGAACATCTGGAGCATTTGGCTTCTTTTGTTTCATTGAGAAACAAAGCGTTTACTGTAAAGCTAAGAAGTGGGAGAAGCTATTCGATCCCAACTCCGCAGCGCTCAATCTTGTACATAGCGTGTCCCTCTCGCTGAGAGCGCTGTTAACTCTTTCTACAGCACATGCTTGATGGTGGCTCTAATGGATAGAGGACGAAAGAAGGATGGAGTAGGTTAGAGCTGCCCACGGATGAGAGTTACACAACGTTTGCTTTGCTCAAAAAATGAGATACCTCCTTGAACAGCTAAAAACCTATTGAGAATCATGACACACTTTCCTAGTTGTTTGTCTTTTTTGCTCTTTATTACGAAACGCCTTTCCAGTGAATTGCTCTTCAATTCCGCTGCTGCTTTCAAGTCCTGCATTTTTTTCAGTCAGCGAAAACGTTTGGATTCCCAAACGCAGATGTTGTCGCGTTACGTTCCGCAAATGTACGCCTTTACTGTGGAGCTCTCTCAGGATGGTATGATGCAGCAGAAACTAGACAAACTGATCGGTGTTTGGGAAGGTCACAAATATTTCAACGATCAGTGTTTCAAGGTTTGTTTAACAACAGATTGCCTTCCTAGTCTCTTGAGATGACTACTTACCAGCTGTGACTGAATTTTATTAGTCCTACTTTATTCCGATATTTACGTACCTGCTTCAGTCTTTCTCGTTTACTTTGACTTCAACTCCACATCTTAGGCTGGTGTCAGAGTCCGCGATCCGTCGCAGGTTTCGCTGATTTTCGCGATTTGCGCGAAACCTGCGACGGATCGCAAAAATTGCAAGTGTGTGAACATTTGAAACACTGAATATGAAACAAGTGGAATCATGAGCAGTCGTCATTCAGCCATCACTATCAAGCAGAAGTGGCAGGATTGGAGAACACCTTGCAGTATTGATCGGGCACTTGTGATTTCCGTGACCCGTCGCGTGAATCGCGCAATCGCGCAAATCGCGAATCGCGAAAATCAGCGAAACCTGCGACGGATCGCGGACTCTGACACCAGCCTTAGGAGTTAGCTGTATAAAGGCATATGCTTAGCGAGAACAAACGAACGACGAATTTGCATTCGAAAGAATCAAATAGATTGCATGGCAAGTCTCTGCAGGAGGGAAGGGGATGACAAAAAAGTCATTTCGTTCTTGACGCACATTAGCAATTTTTTCGCCACGCAAGGTGCCACTGATGGGAGTTTTACGGCAAAATATTCTCTAGATGTCCCTCCCCCTCCCAAGCAGCAATCAAAAGCAAGCCCTCCTGCACTGCGCTTACCGCCTTGAGAAAATGACGTCATCTGCCATCGCCATCCAGCTTACCGTAATTGCTCCAGCCTAACGTTTTCTTGGATCAGTTCACTGGTAGAATTCTTCTAAAGACAGTTGCTCGGAGTTCGCAAGATACTTTCTGACTAGCGCTTCAGATAAGTCGTAATGGGCCGGTGCACCATGTTTCCGGGGCAGATTTTTCTGATGTGGTCCGCATAAAGGGTATTACGAAATTTTTTGATAGTTTGGACTACGCTCCTCAATTCCAAGTTAGCAGCGTTCGGTTTGAAGGATAAATGACTTCTTCATTTGCCTTCCCGTATATTTGAAAGGGTGTAGGGTGTGTCAACTTAAAACCTTATCCATCATCATAGATCCTCTAGCTCATCCTAGATTTCAACTAAGATATTTCATTGCCACTTTGTTATATTTTGACTATTAATTTATTCACTCTTCTTATCACCTATTATACACCGTTGGTTAAACTTCATTTTCAAGTCAACAATTTTTTTCTGCAGTTGGGTCTTATTTCAGCAACTGCGAAATCCTGGCCAGATTTATAATTCTGCGAAGGCGGTTCAAGCTGCAGAATACGCGAAGGTGAGATTTTCTAGCAGGCGGGCTTTCAATTATGATGAAGGGCAGTCAACCCTTAGGCCTATGTCATAGTATGCGAATCGCTCGATTCGCAAACTATGACATCGACCTTAGGCCTGGTTACAACTTGCCTGCCCTGTTCTCTGCTTACAATTTCACTTTGGATTAAGCATCACCGAACCAAATCTCATTATCAGCGCGTATGTACTCAACAAAATTCGCAGCAGCCCAGTATGGTAAAATGTACCGCGGACTTAAGCATGAAGGGCCATAACGGTTATCTATTTTGTGCCAACTCTGAAGGAACACTTCATTCTTCTGATTATTCTTATTATCTCTTTTCATGATTCTCTGCTTTAGTCACCGATATTTTCAATTCAGTTGGCGGCTGATATAGAAGTAAACCTTCAAGCGATGTATGCTGGTTATGAGCAGCAACACAAAAACTATGTACAGCATATAATGCAGCAGATGGCTCAGATTGACATGCAAATCGAAACCGAGAAAGATCGTGCTCGAGGTAGAGATTTTTAATTGCTTTTCATGTAGTTTTTACGGAGTTGATGACGATGTGAATGGAGTAAGGTTTTTTTTATGGAGCTTAGCCCCGTTTTCCAATCATGTCTTATTTCCCAGCTCTTTCTTGTCTCAGTTCTTCATGTATCTTGTCGGGCCTTAGACGCCTTGTGATACCAGCGATTGCTAACGCCTTGAATTGTAGTCGTGCGGTCATAAACCCTCGAAGCTATCAGCTTTTACAACAATTACCGCTGGACATACAAGGCTGCTTGCTTTAACAAATACCTGTCGTATTCCACACCTATTCTCGAAGGAATTTTGCACGTAAGCAAGAGACTGTATCCGGCAACAAGAGGAGACGCTGTGAAATAGGTTCCAATGGACATATTCGAGCGAGGCTGAGAGAATTAGGAAATCAACTGACCAAATGAGTTGACGAGTCGGAGGGGAATTATGAATTAACAAGTATGGTGACAAAAGTAGTAATCTAGTAGAATCATGGCGTAAGCATTCTCTCGATCGTACTAATCTGTTCCCTAGACGAAATGATATGATAAATATAGGTTTGTCGCAAGGGATGCTCACGACCTCTTTCTAGTTGCAGTGTGTTATTGTGGAGTGTGCGTACTCAGTAAAGTCCCATTGGTGCAAATATCGTTCTTCTTGTTCCTTAGCGTATATCCCGCTTGTCGGCGGTGCAAACTTCACATATCATATACTTATATGTTCATATTTTAGTGTACAGGAAAAATTATATAGTAGCATGTGTTATAGGGGCGATACCTTCGCTTCTGAGTGGTATGACGTGCGAGCCTTCCCCTATGTCTGGTCCTGGACCTGGGATGGGGCCGGGACCAGGAATGGGACCAGGGCCTGGAGGTCGTCGTTCACGATTTGATCAACAACCAAGTGCAATGCAGAGCAAATCGCAGGAGTCTTATGGCCAGTTTTTTGCTCCGCCGCCTAGATCTGCACCTAAACAGGGCTGGATGGAAGAAGGTTAGTGCTCTACTCTCTTTTTTAAATCCCATTTTTTTATTTTTCAGTAAACTGTCTGCAGAGTTTTATTATTCTTGGTCAGTCTAACCACTGTTCACTGTCCGCTCAGCTTCAACTAAATCTATACTCATTTCTTCTTCTTCTACTTATTGGCGTCTTCAGCGGCCGGGGTCGTTCAACCAGTTTAGCAGTTTCTGTACCTTACACTTTCTTTTATCGAATGCTCAACGCTGTTCATGTTCTGGTATCACGAATTTCCACTCAATCGAAAATCTCATAATTATGACAAGATTTTCTCTTTTTTTGCCGCTTTTTGCTTTGGTAGTCTAAGCTCTTGATAGTCAGCCATTAATTTCAATGCTTCCTATTTCCTTCTTCGATTTCGAACTAATCCAGGATGGTGATTGCATTGACTCCGCTGTTGAGTTCATCGAATCTCATCAAGGTGGTGTTCTATTAGCAAGCTCCTCCTTCGAAGTCAGAAAAACATACTCATGTTTAGAAAAACCTCTCCAAACTTAATGCTTTGGATTTTACATTTTCAGTATAGTACTTACCACCGTTTCTGTACTGTTGTCAATGCACCGCTTTGTGGCACACCGCCGTCCGCTTCGTGACAGGCAAAACAGCCATAACTCACTCAGCGTCTCGTGCCGCATTATAGGTTCATTTGATACGATGCATTCACGACGGCAAGTGCCTGCTTATGTACTCATTGAGAATAGGGCAGAAAAGCTTGAACTTTCAAGGGGATGCTCGCGACAAATCGAGAGTTCTTGTATGGAAAAGATGCCCAGTGGGTAGGATAAAGCTTGCGCAAGGGCTTGGTAGCCATCAGCGGTATGAAAAGGCATTAGGAAGGAAGGTGTCCAAAAGTTTCACTCGATTTCGTACATAATAAGGAATTTGAGGCAATTTTATTGTTTACAGGCTGGGCTAGATCAATAATAAAAAAGTTTGCAAACTTTCGACCCTTCTGTATATTGTCGGGATCAAATAAAAGAGCGTGGGAGAAATCAGATGACTGATTGGCTCACAGCAAGGAATTCAACCTCTCCATTGACGTGCCCACTATTGTCAAAGGTAGAGCTCGAAAAAAATGCTTCTGAGGTCTCTTGCCGCAACTTGCACGTACGCTCGATTTTTTATTTCCTCATCCAAGAACAGTAGAAAAAAGACAGCCGTGGCTCTGACTTTCCTTTATAATCATGATCCTCAATAGCAATGTTCAATACAGGATGGAAGAAGATCCCACATGCAGCG